GCCGGGGGCCGCAGCGCGCACGCCGCCGAGGCCCCGCCCCCTGCCCGCCCCTTTTCCCGAGAGTCCGTGCGCGGCTGCCCACTTCCGCTTCCGGCGGCTTCGCGGGGCGAGCGTCGCAGCGATGGCGGCGGGCGGCAGTGATCCGCGGGCTGGCGACGTGGAAGAGGACGCCTCGCAACTCATCTTTCCCAAAGGTGCGAGCCGCGGCTGTGCGGTGTTACCCGCCGCTGCGTGGTCTCCACAGCCCGGCGTCGTCTTCGCCCCGTCCGCGGCCGGGCAGCCGCACGGTCAGGCTGGTCCCCGGGCCTCGGAGCCCGCCGGGCGCCGGTGGAGCGAGCGCCCTGCGGAGAAGGCGCTCCTGCTTGCTCGCCGCCTTGGCTTTCCCCGCGGCCAGCGGACGTTACTGCCTGTTTTCGGGTGTCAGATGAACGAAGCTGTAGCTAACGTCGTTAGGACAGATTTTAGTCAGTAGGCATGCAGCAGGAAAGAACTCCGCGTGAACTGTGCTGAGCTTCGATTTCTACACAGCCTTCGCCCGGTTTTTACTAAAGTAATTTTTTTTGGAGGCAGGATCTAACTATGTAGTTCACCTTGGCCTCGCAGCGATCGATGCCTCTGCTTCACCCTCCCAAGAAGGTTTTTGCCCAATCTCTGTTGCGCTCGGGGGCAAAATAGCTTTTGCATACCTATCCGATTGCGTTAAAACCTCATGTCCTGCCCCCTGCACGGACTACCTGTGTTGTAACAGGATACTTTTTTTTTTTTTTTTTTTTGGTGGAATCAGGGATTGAACTCAGACCCCTGTGCTTGCCCAGGAAGCGCTTATTCTACTGAGCCGTCTCCCCGGCCCTGGGGCCCTGTTCTGATGTAGGTATTAGTGATTTCCCAATTATAGGCATTTCTGTACAATATGTAAACGCTAAGCTGCAAGTAATTTTGGATTTTCTCCACTATAGCTTTTATTTGGCACTGTTTTGTTCTTATTGATACTCACATGCTCAGCCCTTTTTTTCTTTTTCTTTTTTTTTTTTTTTTTTATATCAGGGATCCAACTCAGGACCTTGCGCTTGCCAGGCAGGCACTTTGTTTTATTCAATTTTGAGACAGGGTCTCTTTTAAGTTGCCGAGGCTAAGGGCCGGGGAGATGGCTCAGTAGAATAAGCGCTTCCCTGGCAAGTACAAGGGCCTGAGTTCAATCCCCGGTTCCACCAAAAAAAAAAAGAAAGAAAAAATATAGTTGCCCAGGCTAAGCCCGAACCTGAAGTCCTCCTGCTTCAGCCTTCTAGAGTGCTATGGTGATAGACATGCACTACCATGCCCAACTAACAATTCTCAAAATTAACCCCTGGGCCTAGTGGTACACTCTTGTAATCCCAGCACTTGAGAGGCTGAGGTAGGATTTTTTTTTAGTTCAAGGCCAGCCTGAATTGCTGCATAGTGGAATCCTGTCTCAAAAAGGGAAAATAAATTAAGCATATTGTGTAGCATCACAGAGGTGTTGGGCTGGGAATATAGCTCAGTGGCATAGCACCTACCTGGCAAGCACAAGGTCCTAAGTTCAATTTCCGGTAGCAGAAAACCCTAAAAAGCAAAGCATTATAGAAGTGTGAACATTATGGGTTCAGCCAGGCATGGTGCACATCTCTAATGCCAGCACTCGAGAAGACAGTGGATAACAAGGTAAGGCCCAGCTTGGCCAAGTTAGCAAGGTTCTGTCCTAAAAAATAAAAGGGCCAGGGTGTAGCTTTGCGAGAAAGACCTGGGTTTGCCCCAACCACTCCAAAAAAAAATAAGTTTTTTTTTTTAAAGTTAATTTATTTGATACAGGGTCTCACTACGCAGTTCAGACTTGTAGTGATGATCTTGTCTCAGCCTCCCCAGTGCTGAGATTCCAGGTGTGCACCACCATGTCCAGTTTTAGGGCCATGGTTCCAGAGTAGGCACACACGCAGTACCAGGGAATGAACTCAGGTCCTTGTGCTTGCCAGGTAGGCACTTAGACCTTTTTTTTTCATACCAGGAATCAAACCTGGACGTTTCGCCTGCCAGGCAGGCACTTATGCCCCTGAATTATCTCGCAGGGGGCTGTGGGTTTTTACATTGTTGATGTGCTCTGATTGGAAATGAGTAACTGGCCTAATTAGGATAATCAGGTTTATCCTGTGTTGTTAATTCTGCGTCCAGGTGAGGTGAGGTTCATTGGTGTCAGAAATGAGCTCAGTGTTAGCATCCCATAGAGCGCTGTTCCTGAGACCCATGAAGCATGGATGAGAGTGAAAACGGGAAATGTTGACACGAAAACATGCAACAGCCGGCTTTTGGAGGACTGTGTTCAGCTCACATTTTTGATCTCAACAGAGTTTGAAACGGCTGAGACTCTCCTAAATTCAGAAGTTCATATGCTTCTGGAGCATCGAAAGCAGCAGAATGAGAGTGCAGAGGATGAACAGGAGCTGTCGGGGGTCTTCATGAAAACTTTGAATTACACAGCTCGATTCAGTCGTTTCAAAAACAGAGAGACCATTGCCAGTGTCCGTAGGTGAGTGCTCAAGGAGCGTTTGTATCAGTCTGGACTCAGGGTATCTGCAAGCAGATTCCGGTCCCTCTTTCCTTAGCATCATCTCTGCATTCAGTATAAATAGTATGTCAGTCAAAAGTTCAGAAATGGGAGTCTTGCGTAAAACATGCCCAGTGATACAGTGCTTGCCTGCCATGGGAGCAACCTTGGATTTGAGCCCTCAGAAAGCATTCAGAATCATTTATGGGGCCGTGTGTCGAGGTACAGCGGTCCCTCGCTCAGCACTGTTACTGTCCAGACACTCCCACGGTAAGTGGAGATCAGCGGGGCAACCATGTTATATTTATTTTAGTATTTATATATATGTTTAAGGCTTTATAAACCCCACACTTTTTAAATCTTTTATTTGGTACAGAGTCTTGCCGCACAGCGTGGACTCTCATTTTCCTAAGGTCTCAGCCTCCCCAAAACTGGAATGACTGGCATGGCATGTGGTACTGGGGATTGAATCTGGGTCTTTGCACTTGCCAGGCGAGCTGTCTCCCCAGCCCCTTCCTACACTTTTATAAACCTTTCCCACACTTTTATGTATTTTTTTTCTGTATTTACAATAGGGTCTCCCTATGTAAATAGGATTCATAGTGATTCTCCTGTTTTCAGCCTCCCAAGTGCTGGGATTATAGGCGTGTGCCACTAGCTGGTCTCAGTCACCCTCTCAATGTGACCCTGGCCAGCACTGCAGGCTAGGGATTGAGCCCCGGCCACTGAGCTCTGCCTAAGCAGGCACTTTAGTCCGCTAAGATATCAAGCCAGCCCCTCCCACACTTTTAAAAACAAAGTTCTTAACCATTTTCTAAACTTGTAAACTTACGTAATTTTAACAACATATATATACTGTATTGTACAGTACGTATTCTTCCACAATTAAAGTAATACAATTAATTGCAAGTAGTTATTTTGACTTAATATTCTTTTAGTATGTTAGAATTAATGTTTTAATATATTTTAAAATTATT